ACAATAAATAACTTGACAATAAAGAATAATTGATAAAATTGTAATACTAATTGTTCCTCGTTGAGCATTTTTTAATGAACTTCTTTGTCGTCGTTGATATTGACTACATGATGAAAACCAACGATCAATTGTAGCAAATGCAATAAGCCAAAAAGCTGTTGTACGTGAAACAAACATAATAAAAACACGAATTTTACAAATAAGATTATTTGTATCTGTTAAATCCATATTCCAACCAGATAATATTCTTGTTGTTAAACCAAACATTATAGAGATCATATTTGCAATGGATGAAATTAAGAAAAGAAAAGTACTGGATTAATACGAAGTGTTGGTTGAGATAAAACAAAACAATTAAGTACATTACCAATTGTACCAAAAATAAAAATAAAAATCGAAAAATAACGATTGAATTGTATTGAAACATTGTTTAATATTTCTACTAAATCTATATCGACCGTTGAAAACATACTTAGAATTGAATACTGATGAGATAATAACAAGTAAATTGAATATAAAATATTCAGCTTTTCTTTAAAATCTCTCACACGCTAACACTGTTCTAAGAAAAAAGATGCAATGCAACTTGATGCCGGTTATTATGAATGCATGAAAGAAAAAAAGCTTTATGTAGACATGATACGACTTTCATTGAAACATATGTAAACTAGATTAGGTATATATATATATTACATAAAAATTTACTAAATTTAGATTTTTTTTCCTCTACATATTGAACAAGGATAGTATCAATTAAAATAAAAAATGTTGCATTAGTAATAAATAATAGAATATTATATCCTAGATAAGAATGCACTCATACGTGCATTTATTTCAGTAATTCACGTTGGCTATTCGAGACGAGCCTTAATGAATATAATAAATAATCGATGAACACCATCGAATAGTAATGAGAATTCTATACAATATTCATTAAAAAATGTCCTGATATAGATCTTCTTTTACATGCTATGTTTATTAGAGCATTTTAATAAAGACAACATAAGTTTATGAGAATAAAATTTATGATCTAAAAAGTCAATCAAACGATTTTCTCTTGATAATAAAATAAAGTTAATACATACTCAAACAATTAAAAGACCGTTTATGAGAAATTTAAAAACAAAATAGAATGATTAAGAAAATATTTTTTATGAATTAAGAACTTATGTTTCTTTATTATGTTGCGCTCAATCATAATTTCACTAAAGATATTAAAAGCCCTTTTTTCTGATCGATGAGTTCTTGTCAGTAATAAATTGTCAAATAGCAAATATCAAAAATTTATCATAAATATTTCAAGATCTATTTTATCATTCTTATGATCTGATTAAGAAAAAAAGAAGTAATTGACATTAAAAGTAATTATTGGATACAACATCTGTAGTAGTATGATCATTTGGTTTGTTTCTCTCCATTGAAAGAGATAAAGTGGTTATTGTGGTTTCTTGTTTGGGGGCGGGAG